CATGCAATGATGTTCAGACCATAGGTGGCCGTTGAAAAAAAGAATGTATTGAATATTTCCAGCCAATTTCGCGGATGGCGCCAGCTGAATCCATGGAACCCATACGCCCGGAAGGATACTATAGCCTTGAGTAATGCTACCGCAAGGTGGTCTATGTGCTTTACAAAGTCGATACCCGATATGGCCAGGAACAGTTGGAATTTTTAGTATTTGGAAGGCTGTGGAAAGATTTCAGCGAGTTCCGCCACCACTGTGTAAAAGCCGGGCTTCCACATTAGAATCTTGTTATATAAACGTATTCTTAATAGTACGTAAAACGTACTCTTAAAAGTATCAGGGCATGGTAGGAATAAGTAGGCGTCTGTATTTGGGGAGTCTACTAGCGCTGGCGAAATTAGATCTCCTTTGATACGGAGAGGCGGTACCGCATGCAGGATACTCGACGACTTCTTTCGGGGCTTAAGACTCCCGGGCTTAAGACTCCCTTGTTCTAAACCGAATTGGCGACCCCAATCATCAATCGCGTTTAAGGAGACTTGCAGCCGAACAGACCGCAAAGTCTGGATGCGTGTGTCATCTACAAAAAGGCAGGGGCGGAGGAGATTCGGCCGGAATTGCGCAAGCGAAATAGCCAGGGAGTTCATTTAGATTATTAAAAGGTGTGGACCTACAATCGAACCTTTGAGTATGCCATTAGCTTCCCACGATATGTCGCCCGTGTGAGAACATCTTTGTAAAAGCCAGTCAATAAGCTAACGTAAAAGAAAGTACGATTTAGAAGTAAATTTGCACAAAGTAATTTAAGTTTAGCTTCAGCCCTCAGTAATGAGCTAAATATTAGGGGATTATAGACTGAGACCATTGTTTTAATAGTTCCGCTCTAATTACTCTATATTTCGGTCTAGACTTATTTGGTGTCAGCAACTAAGATCAGATTTTATTTCATTGGATGCATAATATTTCATTCCAAACCATTTCATACTTCGAAATAATATTCCAATCGCAATTACCAATAAAATATATCTAAGTCAAACTTAAGAAAAATCAAAAAGAAATCAAAAACACCATATTGATGCAGTGTAATGTCTGCACCTATACCCCATCACATGGTACCTAGCTCTCCATCCAATTGAAGGCATAGACGGGCATATCTAGTCGGCTGGCTAGGGAGGATCATTTTCATGCCCCATTTCTCAGTGGGCTATCTCGCGCTGGGAGTATTCGGCAATATAACATGTGTCATCAAGTGTCAATTTCACCTGAGACTCTCCCAATTGTTATATCCCAATATTCTGATGGATAACATATCATTACAGAAAAACCATCATATCAATATCAACAGAGTCTCCGACCTCTGTTGTATACAATTATATTTCCAAATATCCCAAAATAGATTATTTGTTTGTTTGTTTATTTGTTTTCTGCATTTTCAATATATCTCTAGATTTAGAATATTTGATTATTTTACAGTTACAAATATCTACAATTGCGTTTCACGTATACCAGGTTTTATAACCACAATACGTTAAACGTTCATATGTATATAATATACGTTTAACATGTGCTTCTATTATAGGAACCCGCTGATTTTACACAGCCCTCCCCCCCCCCCCCCCTACTACACTACACTAGTCTACTACTACTACTACGTACGTACGTACGTACGTACTACGTACGTAACTAACTAAACGTAACGTACGTA